TTCCCGACATTTTTTATTAATGTACCAAGACAGGTTTAGAATGCCATTTTTCATATCTTTGCGTTTTTTGATTTTTTGACTTCTTCGGGATGATCAAATTTCATGATTATGATTGGTTGATCTACATATAAAAAGTCACGTGGGTACATGGCTTTAACGGACCCCGGAAACGGCCAGCATTATGCAGAATTATGCAGAATTATGCAGCTCACGAAGATCATTCCGGAAAACAAAAAAAAATTGAAAATCGCGAAAAATATGGAAACGGCCGTCTAAACCTATCTTGGTGCACTAATAAAAAATGTCGGGGATGCAATTTTACGTATAAGAACACTCCTAAATCTAATAAAAACAGACTATTTCTAGTGCTAGATAAATAATTCTGACCAATATCTAGAAAATTTGTACTTCATCCTGATGCTGCTGGCGATACTGGGTAGTTTGTGTCCGTAGACCTGGCGAAAACCATGTGCGCTAAATGAGAATATAATATGATAATGATTTAGCCATACTCAAAAGAGGGCTTACATATTATGTGATTATCTTTATTTATTAAAGAAAATAGCCGATATTATTACACATTATGGAACAATGTATAAAAATTTAATTTTTCCTAAGCATTAATAAATTAATAATCTTTATTTGATATCAATTTCAAGCTGCCTTAGCATAATATAAATTGTACATAATTTATATAAGAATAATATAAACTCAGTATTGTAATAATTATAGAAAAAGTAAATAACAGGTTAGTATCTTCTTGCAAATACATTTACGACTTTCCAAAAAGCTTTTTCGGATTTTTTTCTTTCCAAATTAATCTCATTTAACTTTAACTTTTCACAAATATCATTACATTTATGATTTGCAAAAAAACATTTCTGAATTCCACTCACCCCAAGATTCGTTGTTCCAAATCTTAATAAGTCAACACAATGTATGGCTGGATCTGTTAATAAAAACTCATTATCAAGATTAACTCCTTGTAAATCATAAACTACTAAATACCCTTCAGTGTATTGATACGTAAAATGTGCAAATGCCTCAAGAATAGAATGAAATTCTGTAATTATACCACTATTCACATTAAATCTTTTAAACTCTGCATTACTGATATAATTTTCTACAGTGTAATACGCATTGGAGTCTGTCTTATCACATAATACTTTTACATCAATAAATGTAACTTTCTTATTGACACCAACTCGTTTGGTGGCTTTATTGAATTTTCTTGAAAGAAAATGAGCAATACTAAAGATTTCCACTGATTCTAAATATTGTTCCATGGAACTTGCTTTAACACTGTGA